CTAGAAATTTATACAATATAAATGAAAATATCTACACAAAAATTTGTACATGAATGTTCATATCAGATTTATTCATAATAGCCCCAAACTGAAAACAACTGAAATTTCTATCAATGGGTGAATAAATTGTGGTTCATTAATGTGATGGGATGTTACTTAGCAATAAAAGAGAATGAAATACTGACATACACTGCAAGAATTAATCTCAAAACTGGTGAATGAAAAGGTAGAACCATAAAAATAAAACCTGTATAATTCCATTTATGTGAAAGCCTAGGGAAAAAAATCCTAATCTATATTGACAAGAGTCAGGTCTATGGTTTCTTGGAGACACAAGTGGCAGAATTATCTGGGAAAAGATTGGAAATAGTTGTGGGTAATAAAATGTTCATTGTTTTGGTTTTGTTTATACAGGTGTATAAATTTTCCCAAACCACCAAAATGTGAAGTTAAGATGAGTACAACTTATCGTGTATGTCTCAATAAAGGTGATAAGAACAATTGAGCTCAGCTAAATATGTACTTATGAAGATATATACAATGTTAAACATAAATCTGAGCAAAAAAGAAATGTTGAAATCAATTATCTACACTTTCATCCCAAGAAGCTACAGAACAATGAATCATATCTAAATAGTATAAAATGAAAGAACATAAATTAATGAAAAAAAACTAACTGTATAATTGTTCTGAGATGATTTGAAAAGATTAACAAAATATTAAATGCCTATAAAACCTAAACACACAAAAAGAAAGTACATAAATATTACCAATATGAGGACTGAAAAGGGGAATATTACTTTGAGTCATACAGATACTAAAACTTTAATAAGAAAATATCATAAACTATTTAAAGCCCAAAATTATATTATTTGATAAAATATGGACAAATTACAAACTGGCAAAAAAACTTACATAGGGATAGAATATTTTAATAGTCCTATATAGTAAAAATAATTAGATTTATAACTTAAATATTTTCACAAAGAAAACTCCTAGCTCATTTATGTCAACTATAATACCAATAATATTAATCTTATATAATATTTTACAGAGAACCAAAACCAAACAAAACAAGAAAGAAAACATAAAAAATGAAATAAATCTAAATTCATTTTATGAGTCCATTATAATCTGAAACAAACTCTGGTAAAGCTATTACATGATAGGAAACAGTACTGAAACATCCCATGGTACCCCACAGAGTTGTACAAATTTTATGCCTCAGTTAAATTTAAAACTTTTTTAAACCAAAAAAGGAAACATAAGACAACATGGACAGACACCAAACCCTATATAAAAGTACAAAATTTGGGGCTAGGGTTGTGGCTCAATGGTTGAGCGTTCACCTAGCCTGTGCATGGCCCTGGATTCGATCCCCAGCACCACCCAAAAATAAATAAAATAAAGGTACAAAAAAAGCTAAAATTTGACAAATCTTATTCAAAAGTACATAAAAAAGGTAACACATAATGCCTGAATGGAATCTAATTCAAGAATGTGAAGTTGCTTTACTAATCCCAAAAGAAGTCCATATAACTGGTCATGGTAATGTATATCTGTTAATCCCAGCCACTTGGGTGACTAAGGCAGAAGGATCAAACTTTGAGGCCAGCCTCAGCTATGTCAAGAAAACTTGTCTTCAAAAAAGGGTTGGAGTTATAGCTTAATGTTAGAGTGCCCCTGGGTTTAATCCCAATAGCACGAAAAAATAAATTCATTAGACAAATTTTAAGGATATTATACTAAGTGAAATAAGCCTAATCACAAAAAGACAAACACTGTATGATTCTCCTTATATTAGGAAACAAAAAAAGTATTCATATTTGTAAAGACAGATAGTAGAATGGTGGTTTCCAGGGGCTGGGAAGTGGAGTAGAGAATGGTGAATTGTTGTTTAATGGGTGGTGAGTTTTGGTTTTGCAAGATGAAAAGAGTTCTGGGCATGGATGGTAGTACTGGATACACAACAATTTGGATATCATTAACACCAGTGAATTGTATATAAAATAATGGTTAAGTTATCAAATTTTAATGTTATGTACATCTCACCACAATTTAAGGAAATAAAAAAATCAAATTCATGTAATTCAATCACATTAACAGAAGAATCATTCCCAGAGTTACAAAACAGCATTTAATGAAATTCAACATCTGTCAATGATAATAAACCTCAGAAAACTAGGATTTAAAAACACTTCCTTAATGTAATAGACATTATCTAAAATTTACCTCATATCACACTGATGAAAAAATATTCAGTTTTTCTTTAGATTTGGAGAAAAAGGCAAAGATGTCTATCTACTCTTTCTACTTCTGGAGATCCTAGATACTAGCCAGTACAGTAAAAAATGGTATAGAGATTATAAAGGATTAAGCTTTTTTTCTATGGACACATATGCTATCTGTGATAATGTAAAAACTAAAACATAGAAAGTCCAAAAGAGTAAACAAACTATTATAATTAAGAAATTAATTTAGCAAGGTAACTGGTTATATGGCTGCCTTTTTAAAAACATGTACATATATACACATACATACAGAATATATTTGTTATGTATATTGCAGCAACAATCAAAAATGAAATTTTAAAAATAGCATTTAAAATATCAAAAACATCAATTGCAACTGACCCAAAAAATCTACAACTGAAAAAATAGCAAAACTTCTGAAACTGAAAAAAATGAAAACATTCTACATAACAAAAAAAAATTAATGATAGTAAAATATCTACAATAAATGAAATTTAAGCATGCCCATAAGATGAAAGTGTCAATATTGTTATTTATACAATACCAATTAAAATCCTAGGTTGTTGTTGGTGGGATGATTTGTTTAAAAATAATTCATAAATTGATTATGAAAACGCCAATGACCTAGAATAGTAGTCATGATTTTGAACAAGAAGAAAAAATCAGAAAACATATACTACCAGTTTTCATTAAGAATTGATATTGGTACAATGCTAAACAAAATAAAACACTGGAACAGGACAGCTTAGAAGACCATCACATATATGATGGTTTATCATACATGTTCCACTACAACTCAAGTGAAGAAGGAAAGATGTGTTTTCAATGAAAATGATGTTAAACAAATTTTATATTTATATACAAAAATGTCAATTTGTTCTCAACTCACATGTACATAAAAATTATTTATGATGGATCACAAATATTAAAGTGAAAAGTAAAATAGTAGATATGTGGAAGAAAATGTAGGACAAGCTAGGACAAGATTTCTCAAGCTGGGCATCAAAGAGCACTTACAATTAAAAAAAAAGAAAAATTACTCTTAATCAAAATAAAAACTTCTATTCTTTCAAAGAATATCATTAAGAGAGTGAAAAGCAAGCTGTGTGGGGAGATGCTATTTGTAACACAAATATCTAAAAGATACCTTGCATCCAGAATAAAGTATCCTACAAATGAAAAGGAAGTCATAGTTACTTGGGTTAAAGAGGGAGTTCATAAAACCAATAAGAGCCTAAAAAACTCAACATTATTAGTGACTGAAGATATGTAAATTAGACCTATAATGAGATACTAGTATACACTAGAACCAGGATGTTATAGTTTGGATCTTGAATATCCCCCATAGGGCAATATGTTAAAGGTTTGGTACCCAGGATGTTGCTACTGGGGTCTTGGTGGGAGATCCCTAGATCAGTAAAGGAGTGCCCTTGAAAGGGCCTACAGGACCAGGGCCTCTTCCCCTCCTTCTCCTAGCTCATGATACAAACAAGTTTGCTCCACTTAATGCTATGCTCCCTGGTCCCAGGCCCAAAGCAGCAGGGCCAATCAATCATAGACTGGAACCTCCAAATCTATGAGACAAAAAAAAAAACAAAAAACTTTTCTTTTTGTAAGTTCTCTCAGGCATTTCATTATGGGAAGAGAAAGGAACTAGCACATCAGCTTTGGCTCCTTACCACTCCACTAAAACTGCTAAGTCATGGAAATGACTATATCATCCCTATCCCCTTACTCAAAGGATACTCTTCAGTCCTTATGTCATTTTAATGTGCTAACTTTGCTTCTCTTGGTGAAAGGGTTTGCCCCAAGTCAGGGTTGGAAGTCAGGGCTTAGGTTTGGTGAGGATTAGAAGGCAAAAAGGAACAAACGAACTGAGTTAGCATCAGGTTGCATCAACTGCCTAACAGAGGGGATTACAAGTAGTTATTTCAGGGTTTGAAACTCAAACTTCTCAATGAGAAACTGGCTATATCCAAGTACATTAACTATACTTAAAAGAGGTAAGCCTCTTAGTAAATGTTAATAGATTTCACTATTAAAACTCAATCCAAAAGGGCACTTTTAAACACAAAATGAAATTATTCATTTATAATGGGAGACAATGATATCACTTATTAAATAAGCCTTTTCCAAATTAAATGAATACTTATCCACTGTGGGAGGAGGTATTTGATCTTTACTACTAATGAAGTGTAGTTCATAATGTCCTGATCTTTCGGATGTAATAGTTCATGTTTTGTTAAGAGCTTTTGGTATTAGGGGCACAGCCTTTGGGTTCTCATTTTGACTACAGACCTTTCCTACTATTCACAGAACTTCCAAGCACTCATTCATGGACTTGGAAGCTTGTGGCTGTTTCCTCCATCATGCAAAGTTTTGAGACTGCACACAGGCCCACCTTCCAACATACTCCTTTTGCCATTATGTATGACCTTTCGTTTCGTGCCACATTGAAAGTGAAACTACTTTCTGTAGAACTACTTTCTGAGGTTGTGGTCTTCGGATGCACAATCTAGAAACAAGTTTCAGATGTTCTTGAGACATACTTTTCATCTGGACTTTTGATTACAACCTCCAAATGAAACTGAGAGGGTGGGAGGAATGAGGTGCTGACTAAGTTCTTCAGAATGTATTTGACTTCAGAGCCCATTCCCATACCCTCAGATCCTTAAGCCCCCCTCTCCCACAGGTTTCCCCCACAACTAAAGTAGTTCCTGGCACATATTTAGGGGTCCAATTGATCAATTTCACAAGAAAAAAAGATTTTTCCTTTTTATATAGATATCACATGCTCATTGCAAAGAAAATTATAGAAAATCAAATAAAAAATTGCAAACAAATGATACCTGATAGTCTACCAACTCTAGAGCAATTCTCATTAACTTTTTGGAAACCATCTCTTCATTCACTTTCTGGTGGTCACATAAATATGTCATGTTACACAGATAGTTTTATATCATACATGCTACATTTACATTTTCTATTTTTTTCTCCATGTCCCTATTCCCGCTTCTCCTTTTCTCCCTCCTTTCAAGGTTACCAATATTGACAATCTGGTTTTTATTCTTTATGCACATATAATCACACACATCATTATACAATACATGTAGACATTACTTCAATGTAAATGAAGTCTTTTATATATACATCTGTTGCAAAGCAATTATTTAAACTAAACATTGTGAAAAAATCTTGAAGTCAGTTCATATAACACATTTTAAAAATTATTCTCATACTGTTCCAAAAAAAAAAAAAATATATATATATATATATATGTCACATATATCCAACCATCTCCCTATTAATTGGCAGTATGCTTCTAGTTGGGGCTTCTTTTTTACCTTCTAAAACAATACTTCAACAAACATCTTTATTTGTGTTCTTATGCACTGTAGCTGCATTCGTCTCTGAGTCAGAGTCCCCACTAGCTAAGAAAAGGTTAAATTTTGTCAAATCCATGAAGTGGAAGTTTTCATCCCAATGTGGCTTAAATATGCATCTCCCTGAGTGCTAGTTAGGATTAAATTTTTCTATAGTTTAGTGGCCTTTTGGAATTGCTCTTCTAAGTCTTTCAATCCAGATGTTTAATTCATCTAGATTAAATGTTAAGTTAAAAAAATGTCAAAATCCTGGAAACAAATTTAGAAGATTATGTACAAAGCAGGGATTAAGGATACGCCTTTTAATTAAAAAAGTAAATTGAGAACTTAAAAAGATATATTTTACTATAAAAATTAAAATGCTGTATCTTTCCTGTGTAGAAAAGTATAATTTGTAAGTTGAGAAAAACATTTGTACACCCATGGCAAGGAATTAATATCAAAAGCATATAAAAAGCACCTCTATGTTATAAGAAAAGCAGAAAAACCCATAAAATAGTCAAATAGATACCAAAAAAGGTATGAAATCTGCATGAAGGTTTTCATTTGTCCACTGTTTTTTTTCTAGTGTGAATTTCTTTTAACTTCTAAGATTTAATATGACTAAATGCTTTTTCCACATTCATTATATTTAGAGTGTCTCTTCAGAGTATATTTTCCATGAATTTCTACTGAAGATTTTTCTACATTCATAAAATATAGTTTATAAGATTCTTATTATGGAGCTGACATCTGGATCAACAATTTATTGTTCTCTAAATTAACTGAGTTTCTCTCTGATGAATTCTTTGATGTACAGTAAGGCTTGAACTACTCCTAAAGGCTTTTCCACATTCATTACATTTATAGGGTTTTTCTCCAGTATGCATTCTCAGATGTACAGTGAAATCTGAGTTAGTTCTGAAGGCTTTTCCACATTCTTCACATTTGTAAGGCCTTTCCCCAGTATGAATTCTCTGATGTAGAGTTAGCTGTGATAGAGTAATACAACCTTTACCACATTCCTTACAAGTATAGGGCTTTTCACCAGTATGTGTTCTCCAGTGCACTGTGAGGTATGAACCTCTCCTGAAGGCTTTTCCACAGACATCACACTTATAGGGCTTTTCTCCACTATGGATTTTCTGATGCTCTGTGACATGCACCATCTGGCTAAATGCTTTTCCACAGTCATTGCATTTGAATGGTTTCTCTCCAGTATGTGTTCGCTGATGAGTGTTAAAGCCTGAGTTACTTGTGAAAACCTTCCCACATTCATTACATTTATAGGGTTTCTCTCCAGTGTGCCTTCTTTGATGCACAGTAAGCTGTGATGTATTAGTGAAAGCTTTCTCACATTCATTACATTTATATGGTTTTTCTCCAGTATGTGTCCTTTGATGCACAATAAGGTATGATTTTGTCCTGAAGGACTTTCCACAATCATAACATTTATAGGGTTTCACTCCTGTATGAATTTTCTGATGCTCCTTGAGATTTACCATTTTGGTGAATGCTCTGTCACAGTCAGTACATTTATATGGTTTCTCCCCAGTATGGATCCTCTGATGTACAGTTAAGTGTGATTTTATTCTGAAGGATTCCCCACATTCATTACATAGATAAGGTTTCTCTTCAGTATGAATACGCTGATGTATAATTAAAGATGAAGAACGCATGAAGGCCTTTCCACATTCATCACACTTATAAGGTTTCTCTCCTGTATGCATCCGGTGATGTACAGTAAGGCATGAATAATTAATAAATGCTTTTCCACATTCATTACATTTATAGGGTTTCTCTCCTGTATGAATTCTCTGATGTTCTGTGAAATTTGCTATGCGGTTGAATGCTTTCCCACATTCATTACATTCATAGGGTTTTTCCCCTGTATGAGTTCTGATATGTACAATAAGGCTTGAATTACTTCTATAGGCTTTCCCACATTCATTACATCTAAAGGGTTTCTCTCCAGTATGAATTCGCTGATGAACATTAAAAATTGTGGTATTTTTAAAAGATTTCCCACACTCATTGCATTTGTAAGGTTTCTCCTCAGTATGGGTCTTCTGGTGTACACTAAGATATGACTTATTCCTAAAAGCTTTCCCACAATCATTACATTTGTAGGGTTTTTCACCATTATGAGTTTCCTGATGTCTTGCAAGTTTTGATTTGTCACTAAATGCTTTCCCACATTCACTGCATTTATAGGGCTTCTCTCCAGTTTGAATTCTCTGATGCTGATTTAGGCGGGCACACTGGCTAAAGGATTTTCCACAGATATTGCATTGATAAGGTTTCTCCTTAGTATGAATTCTTTGATGTACCGTAAGTGAAGATGAAGCAATGAAAGCTTTTCCACATTCATTACATTTATAGGGTTTTTCTCCAGTGTGAATTTTTTTATGTTGACTAAGATATGAAGGCTGGCTGAACGCTTTCCCACATTCATTACATTCATAAGGTTTTTCTTTAGTGTGAGTTCTCTGATGCTGAATGAGTAATGATCTATAACGAAAGGCCTTTTCACATGTACTACATTTATATGGTTTTTCTTTATTACTGGATTTTTCCCGTAAACTAAATTCTGAAGTCTGGTTTATAGTTTTGTTGCCTTTCATATCCTTGCAAATTATCTTTCCCAAATGAGTATCTGTAATCAAATCTAAATTCTCTGTGAAGTTTTCCTCATGTATTTTGCATTTGCCATGGGGCTCTTCTGTGATAATTCCTGGTTCTAGGAAAAGAACAGACCCAAATCTAAAGCCTCTTTGATCAGTGGAAATTTTCTTGTGTGTTACTCTTCTTTGACTCAGATGACTCTTCTCACTATTTTGCAGTTTCAATATTTTGTCATTCCATTTCCATAATCCTCCCTTTGTGGAATCCCACAGACCATTCTCTGTGAGTTTCTCTACAACAGTTTCCTGTAATAAATCTTCTTCAAAAATATCCTCTGTAAGTATAGCATTCTTGACTGCAGGTTTGATTTCCATGTCCAGGGGAAAAAAGAGAAGAAACAAGTAACTTCCTATTTCTTAAGCTTATGGAAAATTCACCAAACATGATAATAAAAGTGAAAGGGGCTTATAATTAATATATGGTTTTAACTGCTTTCCAATTGACCTTGTTTTCTAGGAAGATGAAGGTATGGTTAAGGGAGGGTAGTTGTACAAAGAATCAAAGACTCACAAATTCAATGACATTTTTTTCCTATTAAAAAATCACTCAAAACCCTCCTTAGATTCTAAGTCTCTCAAATACTTCTCCCTTTCCGCCTTCCCTTTAGAGCCAATTTCTTTAAAGAGCATTCTCTTTCCTTGCTTCTCATTTGCTCCAAAAATCACACATCTCTTCCCAACCACCCATTTTATTTGTTCTCATTATTGTTTTTGTTATGAGGGTTTTCTCTCAAATTTCCTTGGCAAAGTGTTTATTTAAGTCTTAGTACATACCTTTTAATAGAACTTAATGGAAGAAGATACTAATTTTCCAAAAGTTGAACAAAAATTTAGTCAAAATTAGTATTTATAGTTACTGATGTTTCAAACAGTGAAAATTATTATTTAACCAAGGATAACATTCACAAATTTATTATGGGTTCTAAGAACATTTCTAATGGTTTGTCAAAAATTCATTTTTAATAATTCTTTAGGAAGTAATCTTACAACTTGTTTTTACAGATTCAAATCATAAGAGACCATAGTAGAATTAAAGATAACAAAGATTATCTTTAGAAAATCCTCAGCATAAATTTAAAAAAAAAAACAATTAAAAATAACCCAAGGGTCAAAGATATCACAACACAAATCACCAAATACTTTGAACTCATTAATATGAAGATGTTATATATAAAAATGTGTCATATAGTCCTTATAAACCTAAATACATCATTAGAAAAAAAGAATGGCTAGAATCAATGATGTAAGTATCCCATTCAAGAATTAGCAAAAATCCATAAATTAAACCTTAAGGAGGTAAAAGTAATGAAATAACAAAGAACAGAAAGTAATGAAACGAGATCAAACACAGAAGAAGGAAAAAAAGAACGGTTTCTTAAAGCCACATAAGATTAATAAACCCTGGAAAGACTGATAAAGATAAAGATAGAAGAACACCCAAAAATTATTATCGGGAATGAAAAGGGGGATGTTACTTCAGATCTATATAGATGTTTAAAAGATAATCAGAGGACGGAGATTAATACCAAGAAATTAAAACTTTAGATTAAATGGACCAATTACTAGATAAACATAATTTTCTAAACTGAAACAAAAGAAATAGGGAATAGGAATAGTTCTGGTAAGTATTAAAGATTAATAGAAGTTGTAATTAAATACCTTTCTCAGGCTCAGATGAATTCTATGAATTCTATATTCCATAAAAAATAAAAACTCTCAACTCTTTCTTTCTTTCTTTACTGTAAGCTCTTAACCTTGCCTCATATTATACAGAATATGGAAGCCCTAATAACAGAATGCTTTAACCTTTCCACTACCAGCTGACCAACATCTGTGCCCATCTTCTCCATCTTTCTCAGTGTTACAAGACAGGAGTTGATCTCCTTGACAATCCCTCCTTTTCAGTCTAGACTTTATCCACTTAAACCTTCTCAAACCCTTCAGTCCTTTAGTGATTGAGGCATTTCTATGAACACTGAACCATTTTGTGGAAACTTCCATCCCAAGAAATACAACAAAAATGCTGTTCTTCATTCTATATTTTCCCCTAACTGTTGCATCATTGTTCTCTCCCTCTTCATAAAGAAAAAAAATAATCTCCTTTAGATACTCATCTATCTCCACTAACTTTTACTGACTCATTTAAATATAAATAGTATTATTTAATACAGAATATATGTAGTATATATGTGAGTTATAAAAAAATGAATACTCAAACTAATTTCCATTTAATTTTTTCCATGTCCACTGCCATCACTTTAATAAAGGTACTGTCTTCTCTTGTCTAGACTGTTGTTACAATCTCTTAACTTCCTGGTGGCTTTATGACCTTAAGTTAAATCTTCATTAACAGCATTAGTTTCTTAAAAATTCTTAATTAAAATATTTTCAAGGCACTGGAGTTGTGGATCAGTGGTACAGTGCTCACCTAGCATGCCTCAGGCACTGGGTTCAATCTTCAGCACCAATTAAAAATAAAATAAAGGTTATTGTGTCCACCGACATCTAAAAAGCAAATATTTTAAAAACTCTTTTCATACTTTTGCACTCAGCTCCCTTAGGTTAACATCTAAACTCATTACCATTATCTGCCATGCCCTGCAGACTGCCTCCTGACCCTACCTCTAATCTCATTTTGTAGCAGTCTCCCTTCACTTATGCTACAGTCTCAGAGACTTCCTTTTGATTTCCAGAACATATCATGTTCTTTTCCATATCAGGTCCTCTGCACTGCTGATTTTTTTTTTCCTGAAATGATTCTCTTCTCTTCCTCTGGCTAGCTTCTTCTTACCTTTCAGGTCTCATATTAAATGCCACATCCTCAGAGGCCTCCCCTGACCACCCTATCCAAAGCAGGCACCCTCATCCCTTTCCAGGTTACTATCCCATATCTCCTCATTTATCTTGTAGCTAACAGGTACTCCAACCACTAATTAACTTGTTTTTATTTGTTGAAATTCAATTGTCATAAGGGTAGGGACCTATTACATCTTATTCACTGCTATTGTCCTAGTATTTAACCTAGTTCACAGCATACAGATATATCATAAACACTGATTAAATAAATGAATTCTATATTTTGATTCTCAACTGGTTCTTTGTTCATATTCTCAAGGAGTTAAGAACCTGGAAAAAAGGAAGACAGTCTTCGAATAGGTTCAGTAGCCTTGCAGTTGAACAATGTTAAATTACAAGTAAATAGGTTTATTTTAAAAGAAATCAATGGTGACCCTCTTAAGGAAGCATTTTTAGGAAAAAATGAAAAAATAAATGTCATATTATGATAAAACAAATCAGAAAAACAAAAAGTTAACTGGAAAGGATAGAACATAAAGGGTTATGTTGTGAATGTTTGAATAAAAAAGAATAAAGGAATATTTGTGAAAAGTATGTCCCCCCAAGAAAGCAAAGCAGGATGGTACAATGAACCAAAGGGAGAGGACAGAGAGAGGGGAAGAGAAAACAGTGGGCAACAGAAATGGGCAGTGAGAAGAATGGGACACGGGATCTTTTCCTTTGAGGCAGCTTTGAAGAAATATCACCCCAAATATTTCCTATGTTCTGTGGAATTTCTCCCTATGATCTGTTATTTGAAATAAACCCCAGTTTCTTGGTTCTGATTAACTTACCTGGATAGGGAGTTCTTGAAATTTCTCTCACCACTGCCCATGGTCCTTTCCCATTCTCCAAATGAGTTATCATGTCTGGTTTGGAAACTGCAAGCCCTGTTCAGAGAAAAATGAATAGGATTTAATTGAAGCTACAATCAAGAATTATTACCAATTTTTGTCTCAATCTCTGTAAGGACCACTACAAGAAGTTTTAGAACTGTACTAATATTGCTGATTAGTCATTTGTGGCTATTTAAATTTGAAATGAAATTAAAATAAATGAAAAAATAAAATTCAGTTCTTTAGATGGACCAGCCAAATTTCAGTGTTCAAAAACCATAAGTACACAAGAAATAAAACCAACAATCAATAAGTAGGATTGCCATTAAACTAAAAAGCTTCTTCTGCACGGCTAAGGAAACAATTAAGAATGTGAAAGGAGCTTACAGAATGGGAGAAAATCTTGGCAAGTTACCTTTGATAGGGATTAATATCCAGAATACACAAAGAACTCAAAAATCTTAACATCAAAAAACCAAATGGCCCAATCAACAAATTGGCAAAAGAATTAAACACAAACATCTCAACAGAAGTAACACAAAAGGCCAATAAATACATGAAAAAATATTCAGCATCTCCAGCAATCAGGGAAATGCAAATCAAAACTACTCTAAGATTTTATCTCACTCCAATCATAATGGCAATGATCAAGAATAAAAACAACAATAAATGCTGGTAAGGTTGTGGGGAAAAAGGAACATTTGTACATTGTTGGTAGGATTTCAAACTAGTACAACCACCCTAGAAAGCAGTTTGGAGATTCCTCAAAACTAGGTATGGAACCACCATATGATCCAGCTATTCCACTTCTGGATATTTTCCCAAAAGATCTAAAATCAGTATGCTATGGCAGCTCAGCCACATCAATGTTTATAGTAGCACAATTCACAGTAGCTAAATTATGAAATCAACCCAGATGTCCATCAACTGATGAATGGATTAAGAAACTGTGATAAACACACATACACACAACACACACACACACACACACACACACACACTGAAGTTCTACTCAGCCATTTAAAGGAATGAAATTATGGCATTTGTTGGTAAATAAATGGAAATGGAGAATATCATGCTAAGTGAAATTAGCCAAACTCATATACGGAAGCTAGAGTAAAATAAAGAAAAGAGGAGGGAAGGATAAGATTACAAAAGGAACCAATCAAATACAAATTAATAGATAAGTGAAAGGAAATTTAGTAGATTAGAGGAAGGAAAAAGGGAGGGGGAGGGGAAGCAGGAAAGGAGGAGGAAAATGTGGGGATCATGAACTGAAATCAATTTCCATGCATGTATGAGGAGTTTGTTGGAATGAACTCAACTACTATGTATAACCACAAAGCTCTAATTAAAACAAAAACATAAGTGGCTAGTATCTACCATAGTGGATAGCACAGTTATAGAATAAACCTCTCATAGTAGAATGTTCAGTCATATAGTTTATTCTAGAGAATTACGATGATCTCAAGGAGAGCTCAACACTATGATCTAGGTTCGTGGGATAACAGATCATGAGAATAATCTAAGTTTAGAAAGAAAATGAACACATTTGTTCCTTCCTTTCTAGAGGCAATGATAACAATTCCAATTTATGGCAATGATCAGGAAAAACTTTGATCCTATATCTGTAGGACTGTCAACAATCGCCAAGATTCCAAAGAAACAAATATTTCTTTATCTACAATGAGCATACCATTTAGTTAAAAGTGAGGAACAGCATGAATTACAACAACGTGCCCCTGAGATGAAGAGATTTTTGACACCTAAACTCTAAGCCACACTCAGTAAAAACTTTAGAGGCTCAATATTTCTGGAAAACCTGGTCAAATAGGCAAAGCCATTAACATAGAAGTTAGCCTTACCCAGCGAGACCAGATTTCTATAATTCTCTAGCATCACATCTTTGTGCAGATTCCTCTGTGTAGGGTCCATCAACCTCCATTCCTCCAATGTGAAGTCTATTGCCACATCCTTAAATGTCACTGATTCCTAAAATAAATACAAAGCAATTACCCAGGGATCATAGAATTAGACTTGTTAAGCAGACAGTAAGTATGAAACTGGGGAAGAACTCTCACAATCAGAATCACCAAATGATTATATAGGTCAACTTGTTCAACCTTTACAGAATACATGACAAGAACCTAAAACCAGAAGAGGAAGCCTATTCCAGCTTTGGTGTCTTACCTGATAGCAGGATTTTTTCAGACCACTTCAAGTCTAGCTTTTTATAAACTCTAATTAAATATTGATCCTACCTTAATACCTGGAGTTGAACAATATGGTTTTCTTCTTCCCTAGAAAACCTTTAAAATATTTAGTAATTCTGGTAGTTTGCATCCAAATCATCTCTTCTCCCTCCAAACCTATTTTATGTCAACTTCCTTCCAATTCCAATCCATAGAATATTACTTAATAAAAGATATATTTTATAATCCAGATAATTGCATATAAAATGGGGTGAGTATTAGAGTCAGGAGGAAACAGCAAAGTAGACTGAAAAAGAAGATAGGCCTTTGGACTGACGTTTAAAATATACAAAGAACTCTTTTAAAACTCAACAATAAGAAAATGAACAACCCTGTCAAAAAAATGGACAGAATACCTGAATAGCCATTTAACCAAGGAAGATAAATGGATTGCAAGTACATATATGAAAAGATGCTCCACATCATATGTCATTACAGAACTGCAAATTAAAACTATATTGAAATACCACTATGAATGTATTAGATGCCAGAACCCAGACCCCTGACAACACCAAATGCTGGCCAGGCTGTGGAGCAACAGACACTCTCACTCATTGCTGGCAAAACTGCAAAATGGCATTGTAACACAGTTTAAAAGTCTCTTACAAAATTAAGTATATTCTTCCCACACAATCCAGCAGTCCCAGTTCTTAGTATATACCCAAATGAACTGAAAACTTAATATCCAAGCAAAAATCTCCACATGGACATTTATAGGAACTTTATTCATCATTATCAAAATCTGGAAGCCACCAAGATATTCTTCAGTATGTGAATGGATGAATAAATTGGTACATCTGGACAATGGAATATTATTCAATACTAAAAAAAAATGAGCTATCAAATCAAGGAATAGAAGCAACTTTAAATGCCTTATGATGTTCTTTATCCTAAAGATTCTGAGAAAACTGCATTAAGTTAGGTTTACATAAAGATTTCTTCCTGATAAATTTTGATAAAGTAAAAATCATCTCAGGCTGAGAAAGTAAAATAAAATTCTGCCTTCCCATTTGTCAAGTTAGAATAAGAGACACAGAGAAAACCAGCAGCAAAGTTAAGCAGAAATATTTCTCGCATAGTCACTCTAGATGTAAAGTGTCAAATGGCCCCTTCTTTGAATAACTACTGCTTTTTACTAAGAAACTTTTATAATTTAGACTGTCAGAAAATTTACAGTTTGAAATCATGTCAGAAAAAAATGAAAGTGACTTTGATGCAGTTTTGATTTCCAACCCAGATAAAGAGCTCACACCATGGGATACTTAACACATTTTACATTTATCTTAACTTTATACTTTCTGAGGAGAGAGAACACCAGTTCCACTTTTCAGTCTTTATACAAAGCCCACTTTGATTTGCACCTATCAAATCATTGATTTCATTAAAATTTCTCCTGAACTCCACTCTCCCTCAAAATGATGTAATAACCTTATGTCCTCCTTCATTTGGTATGAAGTATCTCTCATTGCAATGAGCCAATAATACTGAAAAGTTTGGCCTTCAATTGAATAGGACTAATTATATTAATTCTTATGTCACTATAAAATCATAAAGCTCATTTGATTTTAAAGGTTCTTATTATCTCCTCTTCATCTTGAAGTTGTGCTTCTCTAGTTGTTTGTTGTTAGGGAATTAAATTACTAACCTAAAATATCAACCTATATACAGGCACTATTAAATTATCTATGATTTTACTGGTTTTACTATTAAACTATCTATGATTTTACTGGTTTCTATCCCGTACCTCAGCCTTATATGAGAGTCAGAAAATATCATGACTCTTTCCTTTTGGTCTGATTATAATAATCGTGTGAATATAACTCCCTCATCAGTCTTAAACCGTTTGTTAGATGTTTGAAAAAAAAAAAAAAACAACATGTACCTATCAGATAAAAAATGTTTAGCACTGAAATTTCTCCTTTTGAAGAACTATACTAGGAAAAAAGTATTTTAAAAATGTCAAAAATAGCAATTCTATAAACAAAACAAAATAAATGCCAATAAAAACCAGTAAAACAAAAATAGGTTGATGACTTGTTGATGTCATCACAATATTGGTTTCATTTAAAATTAAACAAAGCAAGGTTCAGTACTTACAAAAAGAATTCAGAATTAATCAGACAAAACTGATCTGCCAGAGTCCCCTCTCTATCAGAAGAAGAAAAATAAAATATACAAATTGTTCACCATATCAAAAAGGATGGTGTTTTCCTAAGGTTCAAGATCCAAAGTCTGAAACTATGAATATCTTACCTGCAATTTTTGAAGTATAAACGGTTATATGCTAAAGGACAAGTTTAAGATCCATTGGTTCAGTGTTATATTTCAGAAATACAACAAGATTGAGTCTCAGTATGTATCTTATCATAGAAATAAAAAGAAAAACTGAAACATTTTTGGGATAAAACCAACTTTCAAAGTAAAAATTTCAAAAGCAAGAACATAATTATCCTAAAAGCATAGTGAACACATATCAAAAATGTAGTTAAATTGTTAACAAAACTAGTTTAAAAGAAACAGATGTATGTACACAATGAAAAAGAGAGTGATAGATAAAGATTATAAAATTAGACAAAAACATAGTTAATGTCCTACAGGGCAATAAAACTATAACTTTGGTGATTACATTTTCTCCTAGGTAGAAATAATTTGGAACGTTTCAATATTCTACAAGATTACATACAACTTTGAGAGTTTGAATATTAATAGTAAATAGTAAGTCAAGTAAAGCAGCCTTTTCCTGCTGCCTCAGGTGACCCTTAAGCTTGTTAGACAATGGTCTCATAGGACACTAAAAGGCCATACTTTGCCTTATTTCTAAGTGTTGGATAATTTTTTAATAATAAATCTTATTTTGACTTTTTCTGGAAAAATCAGGTAGTTAATATACTCACAAATTAGTAAGTAAGCCTAACAAATATGAAAAAAATCTAAACCAATTTAAACTCATTGTAAGACTACTGCCACTGATGTTAATATATTCTTGATATTTTTCATTACATTGGGTCTTACTAGAAAAGAAAAAAAATCAGACTATTTAATGGTAGAATAACTTATCATGAGCAATTATGATGTGACCATCTGTCAAATTTAAAACTGCTACTACTTCAAAGAAAGGAAATTTATCACATTGATGCTACCACCCCTAGGGTTAAAACACCTATCAAATATTTACTATGAACTTATAAGGAGCTGGGATTGTCAAGAATTAGGGGGAGTAAAATGTACTTTCTCTTTATGCCCCTTACAAATGATGCTGCCATTACCTTCACCAGCTCTGCTTCTTCCATCAGAAGGTGAAGATCTCCATCTGGCTGGGTAACTTCAGAACTCTGAAGGAACACGGGAAAGATCACTCAGCAAAAGGCTGCCTATGACCTAGAACAGAGCCCCATGAGGTACCCCCAGTCCACTGTGGATGTGGTGTGTATGGAACAACCTCTTTCACTGTTTTAAATAGGGCTGAAACTAAGGTCCTGTAGTAATATCCAATCATTATCCTCCTTCATCTTCTTTGAGGCAATGACAAATATGCAAACCAGAAAGATAAAACTCCATGTTTTTTTAAAAGTAGGGGACTGAAAAAGAACCCATCAAAAACAAAAACACACTTAAAATAAAGGCCTTCACCTACCTACTGCATACCTCTCTTTTTTCATATGAGGATGAGATCAATTTTTCAGAATGTATCTATCTTGCTCAAGAAAATATACAAAACCTATCAACACCATCTGTTTTCTACAACTGAAATATCAGTACAGTGTCTAAGGGGGCACATCTCAGGAATACTCAGGAAATATTCCAGGGAACTCTCATAATAGTGTCTTCTTCCAAACTTTAGAAACTGTATTCCAATAAGGAAGTGATTTCTATAAATAAAATTAAAGTTTACTGTATCTTCTAGTAGTACCTATTTAGATTTATCATTTTAGAGTTTTGTGTCATTTTTAAAAATTATGGGTAATAAAAATATCTGCTTAAGTTTTATTGGGAAAAAAGCTATCATAGTTACCTTCTCTCAAGTTCTTATCAAAAAAATCCATAAACATTCAGCTTTTAAAAAGCTGTGATGATGTGAATTTCAACCCTGGTAATATGGATGGGTATGATCAGGCCATAATCTATTACTACACAAATACAATTGGACCTACTAATAAAGTGAAACATTTTGTTTTAATTTATATTTCCAAAGGCATCTTTTAAGTATTGTTTACATGTTATATAGTCTGGCTAGAAAGAATAAACAACCATTATTATAATAAATTATATTTGTTGTACTACCTTTCTTCTGAATCTCTTACTTCAGAAAGTCATTGCTCAACTAGTTTTTATCATATTAATACCCAACCTAAACACACTTAAGCACACACACACACACACACATTTAAATGTCTTCAGGGACACATTTAAAAACTCAGCTTAAATATCTCATTTCTGGCCCTAACTTTTTCAACTTTTCAACTTGAATCACTATTTCACCCACTGTTCTTTGCATCAGAGTCTTGCCCTTAAATACCCTTCTCACCTGAATCCTCATGAATACTTTACAACTATTTAATACAAATACTTGTAATTCGGTACAAGCTTAAATCTAATTATCCTCATAAGTTTCCACGGCCAATTTAGATAACACTAATACTTCATTTCTTTACTTGTATAGCACTCATCTTTTATCATATTGCCACACAACAATCATTCACCCAAATTACATAACCACTTTTTTTTAATGCTATACCCTCAGTGAAACTGTGAACTCTTTACAGCCAACCACTGTGTCTTACATACCTTTTCTCTGGTTGACTACTTCTTTATGGGTAGAAAGTGGGAGATCACTGAGAGTGGACACATGACTCAAGTGTGTGTGTCCACATATTTTGTTTCCCAAAATTTCCCCAATTGAAAAATATTCCATTATACTACTCCATAAATACGTGAAATTTTCTGGGAACAGTACAAATTTAACCTCAAAAGTGAACTGCCAAGACTAGTTATCATATCTAAACATAGCCCAAATATTTTTGGAAAGGCCCAATGTCCTTAAATTTGGTTCAATAAGTATAATGAATCCTTTTAAAGATTATAACTTTTGCTAAGATTGACCCAATTTTAATGGGTCATACAGTTTGGTTCTCTTCCTATAAAGAGCGTGAGTAAGTAAGAAAAGTATGTGATTTAGAAAACAGACAAGCTCTGAAAACAACAGAGCAATCAGAAATGGAGGAGAATGACTTACCAAAGGTCCAACTGCAAAAACCACAGCAGCCATAATCTCTGCTTCTCAGTCCCCCTCTCTCGAAAGAGGAGAGTCCCACAAAGACATCTGAGGAACAGAAATAAGCTATGAAAACCAAGTCTGCCTTGGGTATTTCAGATTCACTGACTTGGAATTCTAACATAGTGAGCATGATAACCTTAAGGGCATAGGAGAGCAACCCCCACAATCCACAAAGGACAAAGATCTTGAGATCTTAATACTATTGAGTGCAGTCATAGCTAGCAGACCAAATATTGTACAAGGAACTTTAAATCTTCACATCAAACCCATAGTGTGTGTGTGTGTGTGTGTGTGTGTATATATATATATATATATATATATATATATATATAACATATATACATATGTATGTATATTTATTTATTTATTTATTTCATAGATGAGGAAACGGAGGCCTAGAAAATACAAACTACATATGCAAGGTCATATAGATACATGACTCCAAATTGATTTAATTCCCAAACCCACATTTTTCTACTAAATCAACTTGCACTGTAAAATCACAAAAAAACAGTGCAATCATTCTTTGCCACAATCACCTACTCATTTTAACAATGAAATATTTTAAGAATCTCTTTTTCTGACCTTTTCTGGAAGAGTCAATTTGCTAAAATTTGCAGAGACCTCAGAGTCATGTAAAGAGTGTAGTATAACTTCAAAATTTAAATATTAAAAACTTTGACTTGCCCCTCTCAATCTCATATTCAAATAAATTTTATCTGTCCTTTCTATATCAGGCAAACTCAAATGAAAAGGAAACAGGAATAATGATAATGGAAGAGAGTGTTTAATTCAATATAAAAAGCATTAAGCAATAGTACTTTTATACTGGGAAAAATTTTTGCCTAGTAAAGATTTTACACTGTGGAGAAATAACGGGGCAGAGGCCTTATTTAGGTGTGCCTGGCACTGATTCTGCTTTCCCACTTTTAGAAGAAACTCAATAGAATACATTCTCTAACCATGGTACAGTAGAATTACAAATATAAATGAAAGTCTGAAGTGGAAAAACTTGTCACTTGGAAATTAAAAGTAGCACCTTAGTAGAAACAATGAAAAAATGTCATTGCTGGTGAGTTAGCAAAATGAGGGTATTAAAGATGAAATATGCCAGATATCTGCCAAAGTTATAAAGAGATTCAATTCATGGCCCTAAATATTTCCAATAAAATTTTTAAAAAGAATGAACAGAGTAAGCATCCAACTAAAGAAGATCAATAACAAATAAGCAATAAAGAGGAAGAAATATTAAAAGAAGAAACTAATGAATAAGAAAACAAACATCTGAAAAAGCCAGTAGCTAATTCTCTAAGCAATAAAATATATGTCACTGGTTGGTCAAAGGAAGTCAAAAAACAAAGTCAATAATCCAAAAATAGAAACGGGAAAGTAGTTATAGCAAGCACTTTAAATTGTTTACCAGTAAAAATAAAATTTTCCAAATAAAATTTTCCAAATTTCTTTTAAAAAATTTCTTAAAACAGAAAGGGCAAGTGTGGGGAGCCATTCTCGCACGTGACTGGGCAACTCCCAGTTTGGGTCTGAGGCGCTCTGGCTAAACTGTGTCGCAGCTTTCCCGACCCCCTCCTGGTGCGAGAGCCTGTCCGTGTGGGGGTGTGACTGACCACTGACCCGGGGGACCAATCACTGACTCTGACCTTGGAGTGCGGCCCCCCTCAACCTTCATTGGATGGAATTCTCCTCTGAATTTCTTGTTCCCCAATAAAAGGCTACTCCCTGGTGTGCTCCCTCTCTCTCTCTCCTGCTAGCCCTGAGTAATCCTTGCTGCCCTACCGGGTGGCTCGAGGTAAGAGCCAGAGGGGGAGCTGTCTTGGACCTGGTCATAGAAAAAGGTAACTGAGTCTGTGTATTTATTTCGATCTCACTAGTTAACTTTTATGCCAAGAACCTCTTTAATGAAACCAGTGCGCTGGTCGCATGGTGGAATTTGGAGCCCATGAGGGGGGCATTCTAGATTAGCTAGATTGAGTGGGAGCGCGCTATAAAGATAAAGATAAAGGAAGTGGTGACAATTTAGAGTCACAAAAGTACCTGGAGATATTGAAGGAAAGAGACGTTAAATTAATTAAAATGGGAAGTTCAACTTCTACGGATAAGGAAATGTATCTATTTTAGACAGTATACTTAATCAGAAAGGAAAACAGATAAAGAAAACTCAGTTATTACAATTCTTAAAGATTGTAGGCGAATATTGTCCTTGGTTTTGTGAACAAGAGTCTCCAAATTTACTTACTTGGGAGAAACTAGGAAGGAAGTTACAAAAAGTTTGTCTTTCTAATGAATTACCTGGAGGCATAGAAAATATTCAGAAAACTTGGACGGCTCTGGAAGTTTGTCTTTTTGAATATATGTGCCAGAGTTGGTGGCCCCCTGTAGATCTATTAAAAGGCATTCAAAGAGGTATTAGGTCTATTCAAATGGAAAATCCGCCTGAGGCTAAGTTAATTCCCTTTCCCTTGAGCCTTTTAAAAACAAAGGCTCTAGGGGCTAAACCGAAGGTTAACAATGTGACTTTAAACTTGCAGGATCAGGCTAGCCCACAGGGAGATTATAGAGAGGAAGGTCATAGAGGAGAAACCTCCACAGTCCTAGAAAGTCCTCCGGAAGAGGTAGAGGATCTTCCTGGGGAGGAAAATCCAGAAGAGATTCTTAGAGGGGCACAGAGTTCTTCTCCGCCACGTGGCTTAGAAGCCCAATTTCAAAATGGCGACAGCGCAGAGTCTACCCACGACTTGCAGTCGGAGGGAGAAGAATCAGACGTTGAAATTCAGGACTTACAGAGAAATTTTAACAGGCTGTGTTTAACACCGCCTGCCCAGGCTATTCGAATTCGGCCATTACCTGCTAAAAGGACAAAATTTAACAGGTACTCTGAATTAACAATGACTTGTCTTACCCTGTTCCAGCGAGATATTAAGAAAGCACAGGAAGCTGGGGAAGATACTAGCGGTTTTCAACTTTTTCCAGTTTTTCAGCAAGTTAATGAGCAAGATCAGAGAGTTAGAGTTCATGCTGTAATCCCATTTAAAACCATTAAGGAACTAAAAAGTGCATGTGAGACGTATGGTCCGAATTCGCCTTTTATACAGAGCCTGATAGAAAATATTTGCTCACAGCCCCTTCCTCCTAGTGATTGGATTTCTTTAGCTAGATCTTGGTTGAGTGGAGGAGATTTCTTACTTTGGCATAGTTATTGGACTGATTTTTGTACTGAACAGGCAGAAAGGAATAGAAGACAGAATTTAGAGACGCCGGTAGAAATGTTTTTAGGAACAGGTGAATTTGCTGATTTAGAAAGACAGTTAAATTATGAATTTGAAGTATACAATCAAATAACTGATTGTGCGAAACGTGCCTGGAAGCAGATTATCTCTAAAGACCAATCCAATTTAGTTCTTACCAAAATCAGGCAGGGTGCAAGTGAACCGTACTCAGATTTCGTAGCCCGATTGTACCAGGCCGCAAACAGGTCGATCGGGGACCCAGGGGCCTGTGAGTTTATTGTTAAGCAATTGGCATTTGAAAATGCGAAGAAGTATTGTCAGGACGTTCTTAGGCCGCACCGTAAAAAAGGGACAATTTCTGAGTTTATCCGCTTATGTTCTGAGATAGACTCTACTCATTTACAGACTGTAGCCCTAGCTGCGGCACTAAAGGAAACATTAAGGCCACAAGAATTAGAACGAAAGCCCCGCATTAGAACGAAAGCCCCGCGGGAGATGCTACATTTGTGGGGAAAGTAACCATTTTGCGCAAGAATGTCGCATGCGCAATTTTAAGTTCAGGGCTCCATCTACTGGTGATAATAGATATTGCAGGACTCAACCCCACGTGGCGGATCAAGATGGCGTGGATCAGCCTGCCTTCTTGCCGTCATTTCCTCCTATTGAGAAGACAAAAAACTTCCGGTCGGCCCCTCCCCGGGCCGAGCAACAATACGGGGAATTCGAGGAGAGGTCACACAGTGTGACATCACTGGCGCCAACCAGGACAGCCCGTGATTTTTACCGGAATGTAGATCGCAGACAGTTTTCTTAGGACCTTCAAGGACAGTTGAATTGAATCCTGAATCAGGGCCAAAACAAATCCCTACTGGGATTTTCGGGCCGCTTCCTGATAATACTATAGGTTTAATTTGGGGACGTAATAATTTAAAGGGAGTTATTGAGGTGATACCTGGTGTGATAGATTCAAATTTTAAAGGACAATTAAATGTTACTGTAAGGTCCAATTATGCTCTAAGGCTCACTCCAAACGATACATTTGCCCAATTGATTTTATTGCCCTGTAATTCAGAGAAACACCCACCAGTAAATTCAGTTTCTAAACCGCTGTGGTGAGCCGTGTTTGTAGACCGTTGCCGCCATTAGAAGATGGCACCGGTCTCCGTTGTAGATCTTGGTAAACAACTCCTTATTAGGAAAAGTTGGCGCGCTGTCCCTCAACACCCTATGAGAAAACCCCGCGTGGCAGCTTTGGATTGGACTTGAGTAAGCTTTATTAGGCTGTGTGTGGGGGCGTGGAAAGAAAGCGCGCTTGAGAGAAAACTAGAGTTAAGGCCTGAATAAACCGCTGAAAGAAGAATCCTGTGTCGTGTCTTCCTTGCTGGCGAGGGGGTCGCGACAAACCGCCGGACAGAGTGTACTGGTCTCAGTTAGTGCGACAAGAACGCCCTTTATTAGAATTTAAAATTAATAATAAAAAGTTCCTAGGAATCATAGACACAGGAGCTGATATCTCTGTCCTTTCTAGTAGATTCTGGCCTAGGAATTGGCCCTTACATGTAGCACCAGCTAACCTAGAGGGAATAGGACAGATTTCACAGCCCGCTCAAAGTGCCAACTATCTCCATTGGGAAGATTCCAATGGGAACAGTGGAGTATTTAAGCCTTATGTGTTAGAGTCTTTACCAGCTAACCTATGGGGAAGGGATATTTTAGCCAAAATGGGATTGTTATTAGTTACTCCAAATTCTATAAGGTCAGTTGAGGAAGTTAATCAGAGGTATTTTCCTGGAGATGATAAGGAGACCCTTCAGGAAGAGTATCTATTTACAAACCAGTCTCCACGACAAAGATTAGTAAATGCTCCAAGCCAAAATTTTTACTAGGGGCCCTGAGTACTTCCCCGATCCCTAAGACAGCTGAAAAAATCACCTGGCTCACAGAGGAGCCTATATGGATTTCTCAGTGGCCCATCTCAAGGGAAAAACTTAAAATAATTCATAGGTTAGTTGAGGAACAACTTCAGGCTGGTCACATAGAACCAACACTTAGTCCTTGGAACACACCTATTTTTGTTATTAAGAAAAAAGTCAGGAAATTGGAGATTGCTAAAGGATTTAAGGGCAATAAATCATGCAATTCGGCCTATGGGATCATTACAGCCAGGACTTCCCTCCCCCACAGCCATCCCTTTAGACTATAGCTTGATGGTAATAGATTTAAAAGACTGTTTTTTCTCTATAAGGTTACATCCTGGAGATTGTGAAAGATTTGCTTTCACTGTCCCAGCAATTAATTTTAAGGAACCTGTTAAAAGATATTGCTGGAAAGTACTTCCCCAGGGAATGCATAATAGTCCTACCCTGTGCCAAAAATATGTTGACCAGGCGATAGATCCCATAAGAAATAGCTTTCCTGATGCATATATTATTCATTTTATGGATGATATATTATTGGCTCATGCTAATCCAGAGGTACTTTCAGAAATTTTTACTCAGAGACTTCACTTACAGCAATGGGTTTATGCATTGCTCCTCAAAAAATTCAAAAGGCGCCTCCTTTTCAATATCTGGGTCAGATAATTCAAGGACATACAATCCGTCCTCAAAATCTTCAGATAAGAGTTAAGGAGTTACATACCCTTAATGATTTTCAAAAGCTATTAGGAGATATTAATTGGCTGAGGCCATCCTTAAAACTAACTACTTCTGAGTTAAGTCCTTTATTTCAGATATTACAAGGGGCAAGAACCTTAAGTAGCCTATACAGAAAATGCAGCAAAGATGGCTAGTTGCGTGGCAACATCCAGTCCACCTTTCAACCTGGCAAAAACTTGAACTCTTAGGTAGCAACAAGCTACCCAGCTAAAGACATTTCCCAGCCTCCCTTGAGCCAGGTGTGGATGTCAATAAATTATGGCAAAAGGGATCTGAGTAAAAGATGCATTCAACTTTCAGGTCACATCTTTAAAAAGGAGCTGCTTGCCTTCCACTTCTTACTTTCCTTTATCCACTGGTGACACTAAAAGAATGAACCAGCTTCTATCACAGAAAGGACAATGCCCCCTGGACAATCTGGAGCAAAAAGGAACCTGGGTTACTAGATGATCTAAAAATCAGAGTTGCCTACTCCCACTCACTTCATCACTACTTGCCAACTATCAATTCAGATTATTGTAATGAGAAATAAGCTCTTTCTTGTTGGAACCACTATATGGACTCTGTTAAAGCTGCTGAATTAATTTCTAACATAGTGAAATCCATAAAAGAAAAGTCTAAATTTATCAGGGAAATATCAAGGAGCAGAGTTTAGTTAAACAGAAAATATTTGAACATCTTAGGAATGTACAGTAGTCTGCTTCATGATATTGGGTTTCACGAGGCACAATAAAATTTTTGATATGAAGAAAAAATTAAGAAGTTGACAGAAGAAAAACACTGCAGTGTGGAGATAAGCCCAGGGTTAAAAAAAAAAAAAAGTCATCTAGGGGATTCCCATAGTAAAGTCTCAAGGCTACCAACAAAATGGTATTCCCCTATACCAATATTCTCTAGATTTAAGGTTTTTGATCCCTTTGGAAAGTTAATGAATATTATCAATCTTCTCCCAGAAGACTCCCACATAGAAGAATAAAGAGGGTGATAAATCTTATGATGCTTATTAAGAAGGAAATCTTGCCTGGCATAGTGGCACATGCCTGTAATCCCAGCAACTCGGGAGGCTGAGTCAGGAGGATCTTGAGTTCAAAGCCAGACTTCACAAAAGTGAGGCACTTAGCAACTCACTGAGACCCTGTCTCTAAATAAAATACAAAATAGAGTTGGGGATGTAGCTTAGTGGTTGAGTACCCCACCCCCAAATAAAAGGAAATTCCTTGGTTCCATCCAAGATACAAATAAGGATCTCTACTTCATGTGATAGGCACAGAAATCTACACTTTTAATAAGTACCTCAGGTTCTTACCTTAAGAAATATTATCTTGAGGCCAATTTCTGAACCTCAAATTAAAAATTCTTTACACACTTCAAAATCCAAGCAAAATGTGTTTTACCAAGAGGCAAGGCCAATATGTTTTACTCTAGAGCACAGGCAAGGTGTGGTGTTGCAGGAGTTACCTGGGCTGAGTTTCTGCGTCAATCAAGGTATTTCTTATTATACTACATAACACCGGTACAACTTAACTTCTGAAGAAGGGGTTACGGATCCATTTGAGAATTTGACCTTGTCTCAGAATAATGCACATGCATATATGATGTTGCATGGTATTTCAGGGTACATGAAGATTGACTGTTCCCCACAAGCCTATTCACTGACCTCCAAGTGAAGAGGCCCAGTTTTACAAGGCTACAAAGAAAAAAGTGAGCTAAGACAAATAATCAACATGAATTATTTTTTCTCTAAACACTAAAGCAGACCTACAAAGAGTAATTGAAATTTTCAATTTCAGTAGTGGTTTTACCAAGAATAACCTGAGCCATTATTTATTTTTTAAATTGGTAAAGATTTATCAACTCCTCTGCCATATGTCACATAAATTATGCTAGTAAAGTATATTTATCCAAACTGTAAAATAGACATCTTTTGTAATCAGAATAAATGATATTTATGATTGAATATATTCAGCTTTATCTTAATCATGCAAACATATGCATAACAAAAAAAAACATAACAAAACAGAGAGACCGAGACCTCTGATACGTGGGGCCTCAATATTTACCTATTTTTCTATACTTTCCAAGTAGACAATATAACATATCTATATTTAAGTGGGATTTAAGTATGGAATAAAATCCCAAGGTAGCTGTCCATACCTCAGGTTTTAACCTTGATTTGGCTAACTTAGCAATGTGACATAAGCAAGTCAATGAGAACAATGAATCAGTTATTTGAACATAACCACGTTACATGTCTGTACTTTTGACATCATGCAGAAGCTATCTAGACCTATTATTTCCCCAGAGTCATCATTTCCCTCACATTTTCTTTTTCCTGGTTGTTTTGACTGCACCCAAGCGCTGCAGAATTATTAAGAGACTTTAGGAGAAACTTCCCTTGCTGTGATTCCTAAGCCAGTGTAGGTATTTTTTCAAAATAATAATAATAATAATAATGCAGTGTCCACGTTCTTGCTGAGAACTTCAGCGTCCCCGACTAGTCCAGCATTTCCCAAAAGCATACGCCCGCAAAGAAAAGCTGCCACGGTTAACTGTAGAGCATAACACAGGTCACCAATGTGAAACCCTGCTCCATCTCGGGCAGTTCGGAAGCCAGGGCGGACGTCCTCTGACCCATCTCGCCCTGTTTCCTTAACTGCCCTTCTCGGCCATTCCGGGGTCCCGCTCCTCACAGAAGCAAAGATGCAGGCCTGGGAAGACCGTTTGGCCCGGGCAGGGGCCGGTCATCCTCGTGGAACCGCAGCGCGGGCCCTGCGCCGGGGATCCTAACCCCTTGTGGCGAGGCCCTGCCAAGTCCGCGAGGAACGTTCCCCGAGTCGGACCGGCGAAGAGACCGTTGTTCGTGCGGACAGCCCTACGATAGGGCCGGGTGGAGACCGGGCCCACCCCCGGGCAGGAGGCCCAGCCCCGAAAGTCTCTCGGCGGGGTGGGAGGGCCCAGTCTGGGGCAGGGGAGGAAGCAGCCACGCCCCGGACGCTGCCGGGACCCAAGCGCCAGGGGAGGGGCGGGGGTAGTCGGGGCCTGACGCCCCAGGCAGTGAGTACCTGGCGGCCGCACTGAGCACAACTGAGGGCGCTCGCAGAGCAGGGTGGGAATGCGTCCAGCAATGGCGCCCGCTCGACTGGGTCGGCCTCCAGGAAGGCCAGTGCGCCTGCGCAGCCTGGACGCTGGAACTACAGTGCCCAGAATCCTCAGCGCCGGAGCAGTGCCCGGTACCCTCCCGCCCCCTTTGTCTGCTTTTAGAAATTTATGAAGGATTTGTTTACTGATGCTCTGGGTGACCTAAAAAAAAAAAAAAAAAAAAAAAAAAACTCGATCAGGTTGAGAACACATATGTTGAGGGACCATGAGTGTAATAAGCGCTAGTACTAGGCATTACTAACACAGACTGCTGACAGGACCCTGGCCATAGAACAAGTCATCCTATAAACTTAGTTCAAAACCTCAGGCGCCTGTAGAGTTGATAGATTTGTGTCCAAGCTTTTGCTCTTTTTCCATTCAAGTTCTTGACCAGAAAAAAAAAAAAATCGATAATGCCCTCATTATAATTTGGGGTCTTTGAGGACATGTACAAGAGGGAATACTCAGCTGCTAAATCCAAGGTTGAGAAGAAGTTTCTTGCTACTGTTGCAAAACCAGTCGGTGGTGACAAGAATGGAGGTACCATGGTGGTTAAGCTTCTCAAAATGCCTAGATACTACCTGACTGAAGATGTGCTGCGAAAGCTGTTTAGCCACGGCAAGAAACCTTTCAGTCAGCACGTGAGAAAGCTGCGAGCCAGCATCACTCCTGGGACCATCCTGATCATCCTCACTGGACGCCACAGAGAGTGGTTTTTCTGAAGCAGCTGAGCAGTGGCTTGCTACTTGTGACAGGACCTCTTTCCCTCAATCGAGTTCCTCTGCGTGGAACACACCAGATATTTGTTACCAGTCCCTCCGCAAAGATTGATATCAGCAATGTGAAAATCCCAAAACACCTCACTGATGCTTATTTCAAGAAGAAGCAGTTGAAGAAGTCCAGACACCAGGAAGGTGAAATCTTCAACACAGAGAAAGAGAAATACGAGATCATAGAGCAGTACAAGTTTGATCAGAAAGCTGTGGCCTCACAAATTTTACCCCAAATCAAAGCTATCCCTCAGCTCCAGGGCTCCGTTTTATCCTCACAAACTGGTATTCTAAATTTCTTACCAAGAACCTAATTAAATAACTAATACATTAAAAAAACAACAACAATCATTTGGGGTCTTTGAATCATAGTTTCCTTTTTCAGTTCATCTAAATAATAATGATAGTAATAATAAGTCATGATTTCCCCTGCCCCATTTCCATGACTTCAATGTCCAAAACCATATTCTCCATGGATGGTCAAACAGAATCCTTAAGGACACCACAGCTGCTTCCTCAATAATGGCACTATTTCCTCTCTAACCCATTCCTCTCCTGTGTGTGTTGGATTCCATAAGACCTCTTTCTGCTGCCTTGTGTACAATGCCTAAGCATGGTCAGCCCTTCCAGAAGAGGATCTTCAGGGAAATGTGAATCTCAGTAAAACTGAACCTAGCACACACACACAAAAACAAAAAAACAAAACAAAAAAAACCTGGATTCTGCATGAGTTCAAAGAAAAAAGGATCCTGTGGATATCTTTATAGAAATTATCAAAGGAGAAATGCAAGTGGAAAATTGAACTTCTGGACATCACAAGTACAACATCAAAACTTAAATTAGACTGAATTTAAAGCAATTGAGATATTGCAAAAGAAAAAATTAGTGAAATTTAAGACATACTAATAAAAACCGCACAAAAAAACAGAGGAAAAAGATGGAAAAATGAACAAAGATATTCCTTGTTAAAAAAAATCTATCAGGAGACAGTGAAAAACACATTTAAAGCACTGAAAGAAAACTGTCAGCCTGGAAATGTATACCCATCAAAATATTTTTCATAAATAAAGGTGACCTTATAGTGGAATAGATGGAGTAAACACACACCCCTCCCTACTTAGTACAACTTAAAGCTCTTCATATATACAAAACAAAGATAAGTTGAACAGAAGGCAGTCCAGCTAGGGATCTTGTAAGCACAGGAAAAACATGGTGGGAGTTTCCTGGTTTTTTTGTTTGTGTTTTCATTATATCTCCTGGCCTGATCCTGAAAAAAAACTGACAACCTGAATTGTCAATGGGTTCTGGCAAAGAAAAAAAAGAATAAAGAAAGAAAAAAAGAAAAAGAAGGAAGGAAGAAAGAAAGACCTGCTTTCTCTAGTGAAAGGACTGAGAAAAGGGCAATATCACATGATAGAAAACCTTTAAGACAATACCCACTCTGCTGCAACCAAATACCACAGACAAAAATGGTGGTTGTTTTAGTCAGTGGTTGTTTTTGCCACTGTCTTTAAAGCACCCAACCAGCACAATTACAGAGGAGGAAAATTTTATTTGAGGGCTCACAGTTTCAGAGGTCTTATTCCAGAGAAGGCTGGCCCCACTCCTTGGGGGGTCAAGGTGAGGCACAATATCATGGTGGAAGAATTTGAAAGAGGGAAGCAGCTCACATGGCGATCAGAAACCAGAGAGAGAGAGAGAGAGAGAGAGAGAGAGAGAGATCTCCACTTGGCAAATATAAATATATAACCCAAAGCCAAGCCCCAATTCCCACCTCCTCTAGCCATTCCTTACCACTTCAGTTACCACTCAGTTAATCCCTACCAGGAGATTAATTCACTGGATGGGTTAAGACTCTTAAAACCCAATCATTTCTGCTCTGAACCTTCTTGCATCGTTTCACACGTGAGCTTTTGGGGGATATCTCACAACCAAAACCATAACTGTGGTCCCACTACATTCTCATCAGCAAAGACTGGGTGGGGAACCCAGACTTCCAACCTCACTTAACCTTAATAAGTGCCCTCATTGCTCCTGCAAGGGTGAATACAGAAGAGGCAGTGTGGGGAGCTAGGATTTTCATTCACACTTGGTAATATTGAACCTCCCCACACACTGTCAGTTGAGGCCATCCGGGAAACAGTATAAGGTTCTCCTTCCCACCCAGCCAATGTGTTATCAGTGGTGGCCTAGTGGAGAGCCTGAAATGCAACCCCTGCCCACCACTAACAAGAATCTCTCACTCCTCAGGTATGTCTAAACAGAGGTTGGGTGTAAAATGTGGACTTCCACCCACAACAGCAATAGCCAGTTGGAGACCTTCTTACCCCTTCTCTGGTGTCAAAGGAAGAATCCTAAAATACAAGAAATAAAGAAGATCTACAATACCTTAATACACAAGATGTTGCTAAATTTGGCAAAAAGATGAATCTACAGATTCAAGAATTAACAAGATGCCCAGGAGGGAAAACACAAAGATATCCAGGCTAAGAAAGATAATAAACTCCTGAAAACTAAAGACAAAAAAAAAGAAAATTGGAAAAAGAAAGATGTTCTGAAAGCAGTAAGATTGAAACATCACCATACAAGTAACAGAAAATAAATTCAAATGGCAGCGGGGTTTCCATGAGAAACCATGGAGGTGAGAAGTAAGTGGAATAACATTTTACAAATGCTGAAGAAAATTAAGTCAACTCAGAATCAAGTGAAAATGTTCTTCAGAAATGACAGGGAGGTCAAGACATTTTCTGATGAAAGGCAACTAACACAATTTTGTTACCAGCAGAACTACTCTAAAAGCATGGTTAATAGAAGTTCTTGAAATGGAAAATATGTGATTTTTTTAAAAAAGGGAAACATTGAACATCAGGAAAGAAACTAAAAAAGAGTAAAAATTTGGTTTTATACAAAAATTATATAGATGGCATACCTGGCAGAAAACATACCTGAGTTTTAAATTCTTCCCAGTTTCACTGAAATACTGCTTGTCCTGATTTTCACTGAATTGAATTGAGTTTAAGAATGAGGGATTTTTGAAAATTAAGATAATTTTTTTCCTAAAAATCGAGATTCTTTTTAATCTAACAATTTATATTGTGTAATTTTCACAGCAAAGAACTTTCCATTTGCCTCAAAAAAAAAAGTTGAGGTGCAATTAAGAATGTTTCAGTCAAAGAAACTTGAGAAAATTCATTGCTAGCTGTGGCAGGTAGAATAATGTCCTTTCAGGATGTCCACATTCTGATCCCCAGAACCCATAATTATGGTACCTTATATGACACAGGTACTTTTCAGAGATATGATTTTGAATTGGAGAGATCATACTAGTTGTTCCAGGTGGGCTCAATATAGTCACCATGGCCTTTTAAGATGAAAAAAATTTTCCTGGCTGTGAGAGATGTGACAACAGAAGGAAGGAAGAGAGAGATGCAGAATTTCTAGCTTTGGACAAGGAGTAAGGGGCCATAAGCTAAGGTTCCCTTGAGCCCACAGAAAACACGTTCCTTTGAACATTTTGATTTTAGCCCAGTGAGACCTGTTTTCAAGTTGTGGCCGGCAAAACTATTTAATAATTTTGTCTTGTCTTGGTTAAGAACACTAAATTTGTGAATTACAGTGGATTTCTTATCAGAAGATATGGAGGCCAGAAAGAAGTGGGGCAACATTTATTTATTTATTTATTTATTAGTTGCTCATGACAATACAATGATCTTGGCACATTTATTTTTATGTGGTGCTAAGGATTGAACCCAGTGCCTTACATATGCTAGGCAAGCACTCTACCACTGAGATATAACCACAGCCCCAATAATTGTTTTTATTTTTTTAATATTTATTTTTTAGTTATAGGTGGACACAATATCTTTATTTTATTTTTATGTGGTGCTGAGGATCGAACCCAATGCCTCACACATACTAGGAGGGCACTCTACCTCTGAGCCACAATCCCAGCCCCCCAATAATTATTAATACTATTAATATCTAGTTAACTCTTCTTGATGGTCTCAGAACTATCATTTTGCAGCTGGTTATTCAAATTAGGATCCTAACAAAGTTCGCACTTTAGGTTTGTTTGTTTATAATGTCTCTTAAGCCTCACTTATTCTGTAACTATCCCCTTATCCTTTCTTCCTCATTTGCATTATTTGGGTGGGGAGACAGTGTCACTTGTACAATAGAATGCTCTCATCGATTTGGTTGATATTGCTTTCTCCTTAAGCTGGTTGTCCTCCAATATTTCTTGTAAACTAGTC